AAAAAAAAAAAAAAAAAAAAAAAAAAAAAAAAAAAAAAAAACAAAACAGAAAATAATCATAAATAAAAATAGTTAAAGTGATGTAATTTTTTTTTTTATATTTTTTTATTTAAAAGAGTTTAAAAAAATATTATTAAATCGTTTTATTAATTTCAAAAAAAAGGTGTATTTTGCAAAGCTTTTCTTGTCAATTTTTCATTTCATCATTTTATGTTTTTATTTATGAACATTGAAATCAAAATAAAAATGCTTTAAAACTGCTCAGCGTACATTTTAGCAAAAAAAACAAACAAAAAATTCTTTATATAAACAAGTAAAATTGTTTTAAAAAACTTGCGAATGTTGCCATTAGTGGGTTGCAAGCAAAAATAACTTGAGTTCAACTTTAACGTGTAAGTCGATGTAAAGCAATCCACTGTATAAACAGAATAAAGCATTTCAACTAAACTGTCCTTCGCATGAGTTTTTTTTGTTTTTTTTTTTTTAAATACTCACTATCACAATGTGAGAGAATATTTAAGGCATTTTCAAAAACCTAAATACTTTCGCAAAATATATTATATATTATTTATAGGTATTGTCTTAATAGCCGGAATAAGAAGAAGAAGGTTATATATATTAATGAAAATAGAAACAAAATTATTGGTTGTTGTTGTTGTTGTTGTTGTTGTTGTTTTTTTCTTTCAATAAAACTTGAATCTTCTCAATATTTATGATATTATTTGTATACGAATAAAACCGGTTAATAATGCGGATTTTGTTCATGAATACGAAATAATACTTTCAAGGAAAACAATTAAAAGAACTTTTTCCGAAATAGTAACTACAGTGAGCTACTCATTTTGGGATGTAGGTGAAATAATTTGTGAAAAATGTTTCATTTATATACTTCGACATACTTACTTACTTACTTGATCCTATTGCAACAATTTGGTTTTTTAGTCAATTTCTATGATTGGAGAAAGCCTACCTTCTCGCATTCTTTCAAAATGATATTCTTTAGTTGTTTTTCTTTTTTTTTTTTCAAAGTAAAATAGAAATGCTCCCACGCAAATCATATTCAGGAAATTTCGTTATTTATTTACTACCATGATCAAGAAATTAGATGAATAAAATGAAAAAAATCTCTATTTATTCTTGCAATCTCCCAAACCTTAACTACATCGCTTTCATAACGCTTAAGAAATAGTCTTTATACACATAAACGTACTAACACCTTAATTCCGCCTTCTGTCTCTCTATGTATAAACCTTTCTGATCAACATTGTGCCCGGGGGACAGCCTCCAAGTGGCTGGTCGTACATATATATATATATATAAAATAATACCCCTTGATCTGGCGGAAGGAATTTCTAACACACAACATAACGATAATCAAAGGAATTGATGTTTATGGTCTTGATTCATCTATTGCACGATTGTCTTTTGGGTGTTCATGTCTTATCATTTGTAATGATGTGTTTCATAATCTACTACTCGTAATCATCAGAAATTATCGTTTCACAGACCTTGTAAACATTGAGAAACTTACTTATGCATGTGTACAAAAACGCATGTAACTCTCCGTCAATTGAATATGTTGACATAAAACTCTATATAACCTAGATATACAACATAGGTAGTATTATCAATCCATCATTACATAGTATGAAATGAATAATTCATCTCATATGCAGCTCAGATTTGTGCACATTACGCGGAGGATTAAGAAGATTGAGTTGAAGGGGTAAATAACGATTCGGCTCAAGTCGCCGAACAATTGCACTCAGTTTGCATTGAAAGGTTATTTGAAAAAGTGATTGTGAAAATTTCATTGACACATGAATCTATTCATTAGACAATAACTAAAAGTTTTATTTATCTTGAATAAATGTTTTAATCGAGTAAATATTATAATAGATTTTTTTTATTTTTTTTTTCTTTTTTTTTTTTTTTTTTTGTTTTTTTTTTTTTTTAATCGTTTATCTCGAGAGAGACTTTTCCTGGTAAATGCCAAAGCTTAACTAAAGCAGGGTAAACAATAATATTGAACGCGTTTAACTAAATATTTAAGTATAACTTCATTGACATTGACCTGAATTTTGCAAATATTTTTATTTGTTCATTTGCTTCTTTAACTTTGTTTATTTATTTATTTATTTATTTTTTTTCTCATGATTAATAGAATGATAATAAATATATCTTAGCTATTGACAAAAATTGATCTCATATCTTAAATGATGTGAATGAAAAATTCTAAGCAATTATCATATGCATTATCGTTATATTATTACTTAACAAAGCAAGTCATAACGAACGGTTAGTTGTGTTATAATCATATTTTATGTAACAATTGTGTGTGTGTGTGTGTGTGTGTGTGTGTGTTTTTTTTTTTTTTTTTTTTTTTACATAATTTATTGAGCCCATATCTAATGTTCTACTTGATAATATCTGGCTGGCGTTTAATAATATATAGTAATAGATTAGCAGTGGCTATATATCCCATCCATCCATGATTACGTATATTAACTATTGGATTTGGTTGTTGTTGTCCATTGTTTATTGTCGGTTATAGGCATTTTTGCTTCGGTATTCATTCACTTTTACCGGATATTAACAAGTAACCTAAAGAAAGTAAAAAAAAAAAATAAAATAAAAGTTGTCTGCAAATGCAAATAAACGTCAAACGTTGTCTGAGCCGTTGCATGTGCAGTCAAGGGGGAATGTAACAGTTGTGTCAACTGACCAGATAGTCTTCTTTCGCGTTACCCAGAAAAACAAACAAATAATATTAATATTTGTATATCAATCTCTTATACATGCATGTTTGTAAACGAAGCCATGCATGCGTATAAAGTGTGTGTGCGTGTGCGTGCGTGACATAATCACAATATAGGAAAATAGAGAAATTTAAGTAAATTAGAAAGTTTTGAATGAATCTTGAATTCCTATCTCTATCTCTAATAGAATTAATTCATTTTTATACCTTCTATACATTTTACATCTCTATCATCGTAGGATAAGGGTTATATTCATTTAGGTTAAAACGTTTGCAACGTTCAGAAGGCAGATGCACAGACTCGATAAAGTATATATATTCTTGATCATCATCAAATTCTGAAACGATTTAAGCATGTTCGTGTGTCCATCTGTGTGATAATCGTGGTTTTATGGAATAAGCCAATGCTCCATTATAAGCCTAAAGTAAAAAAATCAAATAGAATTATATCACAAGATCTTTGTAGCAAGCTAACAAGCATGCATTTTTGGAGTGATTTTGTAACGAAATCTATGTATATTTTATATTTCATAATGTATTATATATATGCCGAGATCCAAATCATATATTAAAAAAGTATTTAACTCAAATCTCAACTAGAATGGCATTTTATTTACGTTCACTTTCGGAGACGGCAAACGGATGATCCTATACAGGCTGCGTGCTTGATTTGTAGGAGGTATGTTAAGAAAAAATGGTTAGCTGCTCATAGGCTACGTACATTCGAGTTTCAATTTTTTCCTTTTCTTATGTTGATACACATGTCCCTCAACATATGTTGACATTATCAGTCATTTTTAGTTTGCTTTTAATAGATGTAAAGGTTCGAAGTATTTTGGTTATCGAAAAAAAAAAAATGGATCATCAAGAATCTGCATTAAATTTTATCCGAGAAATTAAATCAAGTGTCA